GCTGATTTCAGTAAGACGAGAATGCAGAGTGGTGGAGTGTTCACCTACTTCAGATAAGCAAAGGTTCAGCACTCGAGGTTTTAGTGAATGAAAGAAGCTATTGGCTAGAGCAAGTAACTAAACGGAGCTTCCCACAGCGCCTGGGGCTGTTGGCTGAGCCGTGCAGACAGACAAGGTAATGAGTTCCCGGTTTGTCTGGGAAGCAGACCTGCCTGCGGGGTCAGAGATGTTCTCTGGCTACTGCTTTCCACTCGCTGCTGCTCCTGGACCATTGCTGCCTACATTTTAATGCCTTGAACATCCTGTAAAGTGTCTGGTTTGACCTAGAGTACTCTGCACTGCTGCCTAAGTATGTGCTGACACACCAGTACCGATTAACTTTTTTCCTTTGTTTTCTCTTCCCCCTCCCCCCCGGGACTCAACAAGAACGTGCCTAAGTCTTGCCATGCTACGAGTGTTAATGCTGCCACGTTAGCAGCGATTGTGGCATAAATAGGTGCATCTCTTCTAGCAGTTGCTTCCTTTAGAAGCCGAGCAGCTGCTGTCCAGTGACAGTGCTGTTCTGAGCCATTTCTGTGCTCCTCACACAGGGTGGGACCTCTGATAAACCAAATCAGAGATGAGTGTACAGGGGGAAGTCAAAACCTCATCTAATCCTTGAGCAGAAGGATAAACAGAGTTAGAGTCTCCTGCTTGTTGTGTCTAATAAGTGCTCTGCTCCATCACCAGTGCTCTTTGGCTTGGTAAGTTAAACCAAGTGGGCTCAGAGGGTTCTGTCCATTCAGTCTTGGCTAGAAAAAGCTAAGGGAAGACTTGGTTCAGTTCCCTGGGTACATATCTGTGTGTGAACACAACTGCTCCACACTCAGACTCACCAGTGTGGTCTTTGACTTGGCAGTGAATGATTAAAACACATCACTTACTTGACTCTAAAATTGTTTTTCATCTCTTACTAGATTATTATATTGTTTATATAGGCATAAGATTATGTTACAGCTTTGTCATTAAGAGAAGCCTAAAACATTCTCTGTTCTTTTGGTGCAGCAATTGTAGAAAATTTTTCTTCCCTCACTGCTTGGATCTTAATTTTAAAACAGCCTTTAAACACTCTTAGAGGACTTGGGAACTGGATTCCAGTGTTCCTGTCCTGTGAGACCATGAAGCAATGATGACAGCTAAATGTTCTTAGTACTTATTCTGGGAAAGTTCTTTCCTTTTGAGTAGTATTTCCAGTCACATCATGTCATGAGAGTCTAACGTGGGTTGTCCTTGAGACAGGAGAGGTTCAGGGCAGTGAGCAGTCCTCAGCCTGGTGCCATTCTCTCCATCTCCCTTAAGTTCAGCTCAGTGTAAGTGTTTGGGGGGGTTATCATTATTTCTTTACATGCAGTGGGGTTCAAGAAGGACTGTGAGAGTGGACTCAAATCAAAAGCCAAGGAACTTGGTGACACAGTTTGGTCTTCTGGCCTTGCAGCAGGCTTCATCTGGAGTAGGCCACTTAGTTCTTACCTAAGCTGGTTTGAGATTCTGTTAGAGTTATTCCAGAATAATTCCATGTTGAAATACACCCTCATTATCAATTTTTTACCTTGTTTTCTGGATCCTGTTAAGCACCTGGGAGTTTGGAGTTGGCAATGAGGAGACCTGGATAAAGAGCATCTTCAGCCTTTGGTCACTGACTAGTGTGACCTTGACTGTGATGAGGTTATGTCACTGCAGTTTGTCTTCACTTTTCCTTCTGCTTGTAGAGCAGAGCTGAACTCTGAGTTCTCCAAAACCCACCTCCAAGTTTGACCAGTTCAAATGTGTTTGCTGTGTGTCCCTCCTGCTCAGGGAACCCTGTGCTGCACTTGGCAGTGCCATTCCTCTCCTCGCTGCTTTGTTTCGCTTGCAGCAACAGGTTTGTTTGCTCTTTGCTATTCCCATTCCTGTGGGGTTTTTTCCGCCTCTGCCACATGTAGTAAATGTACGTCTGGAAAGCTCCTATGTTGAAGCTGTCAGCTGGACTCCCACTTCCCTGTGTGGGCAGTGATTCCCTCCTCTCCCTGATGCTCAACTGCCATCTCTGGGACATGACTGAGGAGGAGAGTCAGACTGACAGGAATAATGGAGGGAGGATTCCCATCTTGTTTTACTTCATGTCACTGACAGGAAGAAATTAAGCCTACTTATCTGGCAGCCTGTGCAGCCAAGAGATTTCCAGCATCTCTCCTCGCTAAGCTGTATTCCCTCTGGTTTGGGAACCTGTGGCTGGTCCTGCTGCAGCAGTCGGGAAGCTACTTAGCAACTGCTGTTAGGGCAGCACAAGCCTGGCTGACTGCCACCTTGGGCAGTGTCCAGCTTGGAATTCCATCTGGGAAGTAATCTTGGGTGGCTGAAAGCTATTATGGGAGTCTGAGTCCTTGAAAATGACAGGAAATATGGGAAAGGAAAGAGAAACAAAGCTGAGATGACCTGGATACCATCTAGCCTAACCTGTTTGAAGTGGGGTGAGCTTGGGGTCAGGTTAGGCTGCACAAATTCCTCTGAGAAATGCAGTTTCTCTGGGAAACCTTTTTCTGGGCCTAAGTGTGAGAAGTTTTGTGTTTGTGCCTATGGAGGATTTCCCTTGTTGCAGTTTGCCCATTGCCATTCACTCTGCTGAGTGCCTGTGGAGGTGTGAGGTGGGAAGCAAGAAGCTTTGGAGAAGCCTGGTGATGGACCAGGCTGCAAGGGCAGCAGGAGAGAAAGGAAAACGAGGTGGAAGACTGTCACTGGGAGCAGTACATGGAGAGGAAGGATTGTTCTCATCACCTTTCTCGTGTGTTTTCTTTGTGTTCTTGAAAGGTTTCTTATTGATTACTAATAAAAAAAGTAAACTTTCTGAGGCTTCCCTTGTGCTTCACTGAGTGCAGCTAACAAATAGCTCAATGAATTCCCAGTACTGATAAGGTTGGCAAATATTTCTGGTGTAGTAGAACTGTTTGTGCTTTGTGATTGATTCACAGATGTGTTAACTCCAGTGCTGAATGAGCAGGAGGCACTTGGCTTTCTGCAGGGTGAAATAGGACTTGAGCAGGGTTTCAGCCAGAGTGCAGGGACACAGTAGTGGTTTCAGTTGTTTGAAATAGTCTGGTGTTGCCTGTGGAGGAGGAGGTGAGGGACACTGCTGTGGGCAGCAGGGCTGGTTTAGTGTGTTGGTGAGGCTGAGATTGTGCCTTCATAGTCTGGGGAAAAAGTAGGACTCCAGCTTTTCCTCTCCAAAATTTTCCTTCACAACTTTGTGCCAGTGAATGTGTTGGAATGTCTCAGCCCTTCAATTGTGGTCATGCAGATTTTGGGTGATTTACAAGCTTGGAGGTTGTGATGCTTTTCTAGGCTCATGTGAGCTTCCTGTTGTTCTTCTTAGTGCCAGGGAAACTGTGCTTGGCCTGTCCAGGAATAAATCCAGACCCCAGTGCTGCTCCTTCTGGAGTGCTGGAGGTGGAAAGAGAGAGAAGGAGGGAGATGCTTCCTGACCCTTCAGCACTATGAGCAGAGCTCCTGTGCTCTGGAGTGAGGGGCATGTTCCCTGTGAATGCCTGCACGTGTGAGTGGGATGGTTTTGGGTGTGACTTTTGGACTTGGCTGATTGTGTTTACACCTTCCCTGTATGAATGTTGTTGTTTATGTTGTTTGCTACCAGTACTGTCAGCTCTATCAAAACTGTGTTGTTTTCTTCCCTCAGTAGGCCAAATCACTTTGTAGCTGAGCTTGTTACTTTTATTTTCCCTTGTTTCTTCTTCAGCAGTTGTCTTGCTGTGGGAACAGCTGTAAACCAGTTTGTTAGTACATTCAGTTGTGTTCATTTTCCTGAGCAGATCTGGGATGAGGAGAGTTTGAGTATGAGAGTTTGATACAGAGCAAATGAGAGTTTAAGCTTTTGTTTGGGAAAAAAGTAAACCTTGGGAATTCCATGACAGCATAATTGCTCCTAAAGTATGCAGGAGCAATCCTGGTCTGCTGGAGGGGTCAGGATCCTGAGAGGCTGAGAGCTTGGCAGGAGGAGAAAGCACTGCCTGTGAGCCTGCTGTGGGCTCACCAGGACCCAGGGCCAGAGCAGCCCTGTGCCAGGTGTGGTGGCACAGCCAAGGAGCAGGAGTGTGCTCAGAACTCCCTCCCTGCCCTGCTCGTGTGGAATTTTTACTGAGCCCTGTGCCTCTGGCATCTTTCTGGCTGAAAGAAAGGCAACTTGTTTTCTCATTGAGAGGATAAGGTTGATAATGTGTATTTTAACTTGGTGTTAGGGGTTTGTTTGGTGTTTGGTTTTGGTGCTTTTTGTGTAGTAGCTCTGTCTGCTGATCCAGATCAGATGATCTGAGAGAATCATCTATCTAGATGTTTCTTTCAGGCTGAGACGGTTGGGGCTGTTCAGCCTGGAGCAGAGAAGGTTGTGTGGAGATCTCAGATCAACCTGCCAAGATCTGAAGGGGCTGCAGGGAAGCTGCAGA